AGAGGGTTGTGTTTTCTGACACTTGGTGAGTTCCCTAACACACCGGGGACACATATTCATGTATAAAAGACGTACAAAGGTGCATTTTGCATGATAGGTCCCCTTTAACAATGTCCTCTTATACAACAGGAAGAGAAAATTGACATTTTACTAACAAATGGGCCCTTTACCAAGACAGCTTCAGTCTGACAACTAAGACAATTGAGGAAAAACAAATGAATACCCAATTGTATTTCCACTTTCACAAATTATGCTTTTCAATTTCCGTTACACTGGAGACAATATTAAACAGATAAGATAGACAAACAGATATAAATGTGAACAAGGGTGATAAACAGCTCTACTAGTCTACTGCAAACAACCATAAAAGAACCCTTTCCAAGAAAAGTAAAGCTCCAACAATTTCTGTATTATCTTCAAACACAACACTCAATATCCTATTCAGTTTACTCAGGCATGAAGGCAGATGCAGTACATTTTCCACAGATAAGCAGAGGACCATCGATTAGACAGAGCAGGGTGATTAATGGCTTCTTGTTGCAGAGATTAAATTAATGCAATGTGTGCTTTTTACACTTCACTGACTAGATAAAAAGATAAAGTCTGTAACTAGGAGACACTTAAATATAAATATTGTTATAACTGATACTGTAACTCCAGCAACTTGTGTTATTGCTACTACTATGACAACTACAGCAGCATCACTTGTACTGCGACTGTTTATCTGAGGCTGCTTGGATCAAGTTAGGCACTATTTTACATGCTGTGTGCGTTTTATTTTGGACAGTTCCTACAAACAAAGCATTGGGGGGATGTTAGGCAAGTCCAGTCTGGAATACAGGCTAAAACATCACTCTATACTGCTGTGAATAAATATGTAAAATCTTGTTATTTTGCAGCTAGATGGGTGGATACTTTTTGCTATACAACGTTAAAGTGATGTGGTAAACCAAAAGGAAAGATACATGTACGCCATAGAAGAAGCTGGTTAGTATGTGCATCTCTCTGTGAAAACAGTATGTTGTGTGTGTGTGTGTGTGCGTGTGCGTGTGCGTGTGCGTGTGCGTGTGCGTGTGCGTGTGTGTGTGTGTGTGTGTGTGTGTGTGTGTGTGTGTGTGTGTGTGTGTGTGTGTGTGTGTGTGTGGCAGATGGTGAATGGGCCTGCTAGGGATTCTACAGGGTGGCATGCAGAGAAAGACCGCACATCCTAATTACTAAAAGACACACACTCACGCACGCACATACACACACACACACACACACACACGCGTGCCGTCTTCTTTCATCTTCAAGGTAAATCCTTTAATTTATCGCACTACCGCTTATAAGCATGACGTTTATGTTGAACATCACATCAACGGTTTTAAAAGTACAAACCAAAAAATGTGTTTATGTGCTATTCAATTAACTGTGTCATAACATTGTTCTCAGGGCCATGTGCAGATGTTGTACAGCAAATGTATGCCAGTCAATCGTGTTCCTATTGGCTGACGGAGCAGAGGGGAGGAGGAGGAGATGCAGACCCCGCTCACCTCAGTCTGATGTGATGATGTCATCTGTTCTATAACCATCTCTATTTTACAGAGGTGCAATTTCTGCTTCTGCATTTATATTTGTTTCTTAGATTGAACTCCTTTTCTGGTTTATTTGCCAGCAGAAATAGTGTAAATCTGTTCATTTCAAGCACGGAAATGATCAGAAAATGTCCACAATATGCCATCATTACGAGCTCGAGCTGTAACTTTAGGTAGCTTTGAATGTATTGAGGATGGGATGTCAACCTCATCTATGTGTGTGCTGTACATTCTCTGGTAAAGCCGTATGTTAGGGATAATAAACCAAAGGGATTAAAGCTGTACCACCATCATCACATCACTGATGTCTGTCTGAAATGGGAATTACTCAAACACATAATCATTCATCTTAATTGACCTCAAAACACATCAAATTAAGATGCCTTGAATACTATTTCAATGCCGTGTATTTTTGTGCACCTGCCTGGTTGATCTGATTTGTGTTTCTGTCCAACATCATTTGCGTGGTGTGTCTGTATTTGATAATGTGCGCATAGGCTTCTGTGTGTAATCTCTTACCTTCTGCAGCAGTTTAGCTCCAGAGTATCTGGCGGACAGAGCAGCTATCTCCTTGCTGAAGGACACAGCCCACTTTTGCACCCTGGACAGAGAAGACATGATCAGTGACAGATGATCAAAACTGTTATCAATATCTATGACAACAATGCAATAACCCAACATGTATGTCACATTAATAAATGCAACCCTTTTGCAGAAGTAGAGCGGCAACACAATCAGCATTTTTTCACATCATGGCAACCCAAATGTGGTCTTATCAGTGACTAAATGATTTGTTATTGGTAATACATTGTTAAAGGGTTGCTTATTTGGAGAAAAAAAATGAAAAAACTGACATTCTGGCAATTAAACGAGTTAGCTAAAGAAGAGCTATATGGCCTTTTCCTATAATACCTATATTTAGCTAAAAAGCTACACACATCTAATAAACGGAAGAAATGCACCCTGATGTAAATGCAACAACTGCCCCATTTAACAATATTGCGTTGTATTTTAACATCTGCGGAGCAAATATTGTTTGAACATGTCTTAGTAAACTAGAATTCCTGACATCTTTAAATTGATTAATTTAGTTGATGAAAATTAAGTGTCAATAGGACAGTCTTTATTAAAGCTGACCCTTGACTTAGGAAGCCAATCATGTTCAAAGGTGACCCTGCATTCAACAATAACAGATTCAAACAGATTAGTGTTCAGGTGTCAGTCAAGAGGTCACTCTGCGCTCTATAATATGCAGTAAATCTACAAATCATTTATGTCTGCCAAGCAGGAAAGGTAGCAGAGGTTAGAGTGGGCAGGATGTGACAGATGGCTCAACCAATGGGGAGCCAGCCAGCTCACTGCTAGTTATACAGAGCTATCATAGCTAGCCTGCTAGCATTGGGACTAGAAACTAGCTGACTTTATGTGTTTATTCTGAAATATGAGAATGTGTTCATTATCAAATGTGAATATTGGCAACATAGAGGTGCTAGGAATGACTGTTGTATTATAAATACATTTCATATTTTATGTTAATAGATAGCAAACACTCGATTGAAATTAGTGAGATCGCTGAGTTAAGGGATTGTCCCAAGAGTTTAGCTGAACTATAGTAAAGTTGGTTATAAATGCAAATGTAAAGAAGGGAAAGACGTGACAGGATGAACCTACTGTAATGCTGTCTCTGAGGTGGAGTGATATATTTCGTTAAGAAGAACCACTTGAACCTGCTGCCTGTTCAAACTTTTTGTATCATTATTTTTGCTGGAATTTATAACATAAATAGCAATAACACAAACTGCCAAGTCTGAAGTTCTTCTTGTCTCCTCACTGGATGAGTTAAGTGAGCATCAAGTACACTTTTGACTGATAAATATAGGTATTTATTAATTGAGATGGTCAAATAGCTTTTTTAAATGTTTTTTGCACTCTCATTGTAGTGCCTCTTAAACTGCATGCTGTTAAAGGACATACCATGTGCTACAATACCACTATATCAGCCAAGTGAGGTCAGATTAGACAGGGCATTAGGCAGGTTACTACTAAGGTCAACTATGGACCAGTTCCTAAGCAGTTGCTACTGTAACTCTATGGTACCGCTAAAGGGCAAAAGGCAGGAAAATTCAACATTTTTAATATAAAAAATCACTAATTCACAGCATTCCATCAGGGTGTCTCGGGTGTCAGTTCTTTAATTGATGTTTAAATGAGTGATGTCTTTTCCTCCTGGCAGCAGAGCGATGTTCCCTCAGAGGCTAAAGATTTGACCGTGAAACGTCCTGGTTATAACAAGCTAACTTCCAGAGCCAGCGGGGCGGTGCTGCCACTTCTTCCCCAGACACAGCAAAGCATTTTAGGCTCAGTGACCTGTGCTGGCCAGCTGAACCCGGATGTCACTGAAGCTTTAATCTCCCATGTAACACCAGAGCCTGCTGTGTGACAGCACACTCTGAGTCTCACACAGGTTCACACATTTATATACTGAGACTGAACCATCCACCATGCTTTAGTTGTGTTGGATGATTAATCTATATGACTCGATTTCGTTTAATCAAACCTCTATTGTATGTATGTGCACTGAAATACAAACAAAGAAATTGAACAGCATCTATTTAGTGCAATAATTCAGAGTATTTCTGTGTACCTCTGTGTACCACACACACACACACACACACACACACACACACACACACACACACACACACACACACACACACACACACACACACACACACACACACACACACACACACACACACACACAGTTAATAGGCTATTGTGAACTGACAGCACTGCATTGATCTGTTAGTGTTTTTAGTCAGCAGGAGGTTTGAAAGCTGTTCAGGGAAAAAGCTGTTCAGCTGTTCAGGGAAAAAGCTGTTCAGCTGTTCAGGGAAAAAGAGCTTTGTCTGGTTTCTGGAGATCACACAAACGCAGCATTTCTTTTCAAAAGAAAAGTGAATTGAGACAGACAAACTGACCACTGAGGCAACAAGGCATTAGGAGTTATTGCAATTCCCTTGTGTAACAGCCATCTTTGTATCCGGGAAATGTGGAGGGAATATTTCCTGGTTAGCAGTGTCCTTTTCTAAAACTAGTTTCTAAAGCTGTATTTACAGACCTCTTATCCCAGGTAGAACATGACCCTTTTCAAATATATGGTTTGAGAAGTTCATATTACAGTTCATAATTAAAAGGACATAATCCAAATCAAAAGGAATGTATGAAGAACGTGATTTTTTTTTGGTCCAATGTTGATATTAAATATGTTTTTCCAATAACACCAAAACACGTATTTTATGCAATATATCAAATGGTGTCCTGCATACTGTAAGCTTTGACTGCACAGTGGATCAGTTGACATGTAAACACAACAGCGTTTACTATCAAGTTAGCAGCTGTGCTAACAATCACAATATTAGCATGCTGGTGTTTAATACGTTTAGGTGGTAAATACTCTATTCTAAACGTCCCAATTTGCTTTGGCATTAGTCTTCAATAGACAAACTGGTGAAGACAAGCAAACCATAATACAATAAGTATTAAACATAATCATTTTGTGTTGATTTTATTTAAATGTACCACATGTCTACTTCACCTTCAGCATACTAACTGTAGAAAGGCTGTGTAGTCATTGATAGTTTGGCAGGTGGCTACACCCCCACCCACAGGTGCCCATATGGCCCATATGCATCTGTGTGGAGTAATCAGCCAAAATACAAGGAACATATTGACTCATCTATATCACGTGAGGCTGTAAAAAGGACAGGAGCTGCAGATCTGCCAGGGCGTCCACGGGGAAACGACCGCACAATAGCTGATGTAATGTCTAAATAAAGCACTATGTTTGTGGTCAGATAAGACATATTCAGCGCTGATTGTTAGCACATTGTGTCTCAATCTGTCGACCTGTGAGGATGTAGTCATAGAACATCATGTTATCATCTAATTGGTTGGCTGAAACTTTTTGTTGATGTGTTTATTCTGAAATATAAAAGTGTGTTGGTAACGTAGAGGTGCTAGGAATGACTGTTGTAATATAAATATATATATATTTAGTTTTCTATATTAGCATATATTATTTATTAACATACTAATATTTGCTATATTAGCAAAACGAAAGCAAAGTTAGTTGTTTATGCAAATGTAAAGAAGGGAAAGACATGACAGGATGAACCTACTGTAATGCTGTCTCTGAGGTGCAGTGAACATTTCATTAAGAAGAACCACTTGGACCTGCTGCCTGTTCAACCTTTTATTGTTATTATTTTTGCTGGAATTTGCAGCGCACATAGCAATACTGCAAACTGCCAAGTCTGAAGTTCTTCTTTACGTCTCCTAACGGGATGATTTAAGGAAGTATCAATAAAATGATTTAACTGATGGCTAAGAATGAGTCTTTGAGTCAGTCAAGACACAATTCCTTGGAATGAATGGCACTCAAATATAGATCTATTATTGTAATTAATATATTTGGTAAATATGTTCCTTATAAATCCTGTGTGACCTTTATGATTTATCCAACCTGTGAGTGTTCTCTAATGTAACTGTACTCACGTTTCCGGTGAGATCTTCATCTGTCCGTCAACCATGCGGTACAGCGAGCTGGAGAGGATAATCCACAGCAGCATCATCAGCCTCCCTCTTCGCGGCCCACTTCCCCAGCTCCAGCGGTTCATCCCTGCAGCAGTTGTTGCACGCTGGCTCCAAAGAGAGAAGGATTAAATAAGGAGAGCGGAGAGTGAGTTTAGAAATGCTCAGGCCACAGTGCACGAGGATGGAAGTTGTTTGGTCCTGGGTAGGTAATATATAGTGGGATTTCTTAGCTTTTTTTGTTGAAAAAACTACTATGCGAGCAAATCAAAAGAATGAAGTTGTGGGGTGTTAAAGAAAAAGTGTGCTGAAAGAACTAACCTTACATTTGGAAACCACAACATTGGGTTTCTTTATGTACCACAAGGACAACAATTGACATCTTACTAATCAAATTATAGGCACAAATACTAATTGTTGGTTAACTTGCCAGGCAAAACAAGCATTACAAAAATGCAAACATCCAATCCAAAGTTTTCCTAAAGACTAGCCAAGGGCATTGCATGTGACACCCAACAACAGACAAAGCATATCCTCCTTAAAGCTGCCCCAGACTTAGGATTTGTAGTGGATTCTAAGATTGATTCTGAGAAGCCACAGTCATTGAGAGGGAAACTTAAGAGCTGCTTTTCCTGTTAGCCAGAAGATTGAACCAATCCCATTTGCCGTCTGGAAACACAGGATGCTAATTTAAAAGAAAAACAAGCTGCATCCCAAAAGTGGGTTAGAGGAAGATTGACACACTTACTGAAATGATAACATACAGAATAACAGTGATTACTCACTATGTCATGTGGTCAAAGCTTTAAAACCATTTCCTTTGAGACATGTGGAAATTTCAAATACGACTGATGAGCAATAAAAAGAGTCTGATAGAGATTTGATGTCAGCTCAGCTGGACCCCCCGGCACACAGCACAGTCTGGAAAGCTCTTGTCTCCAGTGTCAAAGGTCACTTCTGCGCTCCAAGAGTCACAACGGATTCTCGCCATGCTCCTACACCTCCCTCTCTACACCCCTTAATCCTATTTCTGCTACTCCCATTATTATCTTCTCTCCTCCTATACTCCCCCCTCTACAGGATGCCGGGGAAAAAGGGAGAGTGATGGGGGCGTCCCGTTTAGCTTCCCTCGAGTTCAGTTAGCGAGGCATTCCCAAGCAGGACACGCACATATATTCCCAAAAGAGTTTTCTTCTGCCGCACTTTTTTTAATTATTCCATCCTGCTGAGCTCCTGGTGGATCCAAAACCATGCAGCACTGGGACACGCTTATGATGATCGTTGAATGATGGATAGAGTGATAGTAGGACTTCCTCTCTCTTCAGTGGATCTCTTCCTGCTGTCCGGGACCAGTTTATACCATAATCCAGGCAGGATTAAATCCCTCCTCCCTCCATCCCTCCTTTTCCTCTCTCCATCCCAGATCACTCTCTCTCTCACACACACACACACACACACACACACACACACACACACACACACACACACACACACACACACACACACACACACACACACACACACACGTAACGTAACTAACGTAACGTAACTAACGTAACGTAACGTACTAACGAACGACGACGACGTACGACGTACACGTACTACGTACGTACTACACACACACGACACTACTACGTACTACTACTACTACTACTACTACTACTACTACTACTACTA